GACCCGCTTTGGACGTGGAGGACTCGCTCGAGGACGTGGACAACGTGGCGGAAGAGGTGATACCCGTGGTGGTAGAGGTCAATTCCAGAGAGTTGGAGGACGAGGCGGGCAACAAGGCTACAACAGTTATGATACCCGCGGTGGAAGAGGTGGTGCTCGAGGTGGAAGAAAGTTTGGCTGGAAAGATTACGACAAGCCACAAAGAAACCGTGATGCCTCTGTTAACATTAAGCCTGACTGGAAAATGTTGGAGGAGATTGATTTCAACCGTCTGGCCAAGCTCAATCTTGATACCGATGATGGAGAAGATATTGACAGTTATGGTTTCCTTTACTACTACGATCGATCATTCGACAAGCAACCTGTCAAGGCTGCCGAGAGAAAGCTTAACGTGGTCGACCGCGCTTCATACAACGTTACCACATCTTCAGATCCCGTCATTCAAGAACTCGCTGAGAAGGATGAGGCCACAATTTTCGCAACAGACAGCATTCTTTCCATGCTTATGTGCTCCCCTCGTTCAGTTTATCCTTGGGACATCGTTATCGTTCGACAAGGCAACAAAGTGTTCCTCGACAAGAGAGACAACGCTACACTCGACATGGTTACCGTTAATGAGAATGCTGCTGACGCTCCAATGGATGCTTCAGAAGGTAGCAAGGACGCTATTAACCAGCCAAGTGCTTTGGCTGAGGAAGCTACATACATCAACCACAACTTCGCAAATCAAGTCATGAAGGAGAGCGACAGCCAGAAGGTAGAAATGGAGAACGAGAACCCATTCTATAATTCCGCCGAAGAAACCGACCCACCTGCCAGTAAGGCATACAAATACCGTAAATTTGATCTTTCTTTGAACGACGAAGATCCAGTTCACTTGGTTGTAAGAACCGAGCTTGATGCTGTTTCAAAGAATGCTATCAGTGGAGAAGATCAATTCTTGACTGTCAAGGCTCTCAACGAATTCGATTCCAAGGCACAAGGAAGTGGAGGTGCATTGGACTGGAGGACGAAGTTGGTCAGTCAACGTGGTGCTGTTGTTGCAACTGAAATGAAGAACAACAGTTGCAAGCTTGCAAGATGGACAGTTCAAAGTATCATCGCTAAGGCTGATGTCATGAAACTCGGGTATGTATTTATTACGCCTGTGGTCACTATTTCATACTAACCTTTGATAGATTCGTTTCCCGTGCCAACCCAAAACTCAACGATCGTCATGTAGTTCTCGGCGTTATTGGCTGGAAGCCACGTGATTTTGCTTCGCAAATGAACTTGTCCCTATCCAATGGATGGGGTATTGTCCGTACCATTGTTGATATGTGCTTGAAGCGTGAAGAGGGCAAGTACGTACTTGTCAAAGATCCTAACAAGCCAATCTTGAGACTGTACCAAGTGCCAGCTGGTAGTTTTGAGGATGATGGAGAGCATGATGTAATTGAGGAGAATGTTGAGGAGGATGATTAGATTATATGTGGTTGCACAAAAAGTATCCAGCGTTCAATGGTTCTGGGTTGGGCTGGGCTGGGCCTCATGGAGTTATGATAATGCGCATATATCGTAGATAACCGATATCACATATGCTATATTTGATGAGTTCGAGAGAACCTTTTACCTTCATACCCTCCTTCCCATAGATTGCAATCTGATCAATTCGCTCGAGACAAGGTTCACTAAATTCGGAGTAAACGATTACAAAGAGTGTTACGCTGAAATCCAGGTCAATTCCCCTTTGTTACGCGGTGCTAGTTAGACTAAACCTATTACAGTCATTGGTATAGCCAATCAGATGAGGTTTGATTTCAAAGCTTGATTGCCAATGCTGAATATCAATCTCACCTCATAAGTCAACTGCCCTATTTACCCTTGTTGTGGGCTACCTTTCATTGTCAAAACCTTGAAAATCGAGATGATGAAGTCAATATATTTCCATGATTCACACTATAACATTACTTGCGGGTCTAGAAGCCAATAATAAGACTACGAAGCCAATGTATTGCACTACCGAGGTGTTAGCGCAAGCCCGGTCACATGAATTTATCCCGACGGGTGTTTCTGCGGGAAGTATTGAAATTTAAGGTTTTGGATAGACGTTGCGAATCGAGTGTAGTGGATCAATATACATTTTCGACACGTTTCATAAACTTTCAAGTGTGGATTTCCATCCTCTTTGATCTGATTATTCTCCAGTTTAGATTGTGATACTGAGTGTTGATTGATCAGTGATCAGTGGCAGCCGAGGATATGAGAATCAGGCCCGACGTCGTTATGTTGCTTTATAAGAATTCGGCAGTTGCTTAATAATATGCCTGAAAGATAGATTGATTGCTGATATTGCTGAGTTGATAATTGGTGTAGATTCAGAGGTTGGATTAATAATGTAGATTCTTGGATCTATGGGTGCGAGTCTATATAATACTTGACAGATTCCTTCGTTTCCATTTCTTTTGATATCTACTTTCATATTCAAACCCAATTGCATTTTACTCAGCTCCGCTACAAAGAACAAAACTTCCCCTCTTCTGGAGAATTCATATTCCAGCACACCACATCAATTGCACAGCAAAACTCCAGCTCTTGCACGGAATTCAGACACTTGATCTACTCACTTATCTTCCTTTGTCCAAACACATACCAAAATCGAAAATGAGTGGAACAATAGATCCTGATGCGTATACTACGCCTTTCGCTATCACTAAGTCTACTCATCGTGATCCTTATTGGGCTATCGATTCTAAAAATCCAGCGAACAACCAATCTGGTAAAATTATTATCATCACGGGAGCTAGTGCTGGTCTTGGAGCTGTAAGTAGTGTCCCATGCTATCTATCTTACAATCTAGATTCTCCATTCTAACATTATCTCAAATTAGGCAGCGGCAAAAGTTTGGGCCGAAGCTCATGCATCCGGTATTGTACTCGCAGCTCGTCGAGTTCCGCCTATAGACTCTCTTATCGAGAAACTTCAGCCAATTAGTCCAGAAACCAAGTTTCTTAGTGTGAAAGTCGATATTGCGAATGAAGAAGATGTTAAGAATCTTTATGAGACAGTACAGAAGGAATTTGGTAGACATGCTGATGTTCTATTGAATAACGCTGGATATATGGCAAGAGGTATGATTGGAGAGGCGGAACCAAGTGCTTGGTGGAAGGTGTTGGTGAGTTTTTCACGTCAATGTCAATGTCCATCTCAACGAATTGATATGAGATAATTGGGAAAAACGAAACTAATGTTTGACGAAAACTAGGAAATTAATCTTAAAGGTCTTTATCATATGACCCACCACTTCATCCGATCCCAACCTTCCCCCAAGTCGCCGACTGGCACAATTATTAACGTCTCCTCCGGAACCGCTGGTCTCACAGGAGCTCGTGGATCCTCATACAGTATCTCTAAACTTGCCGAACAACGTTTATCCGAACATCTTCACCTCGAATATCCTTCGCTCCGTGTTTTCACCACGATGCCAGGAATTGTACTGACTGACATGGTGTCGGAACAATTCAAACCATATGCAGTCGATCATGCTGATTTGACCGGTATGTTAGCATTGTATCTTGCTCAAGAGAGAGCAGACTATTTAAGAGGGGGGATGGTGGGAGTCAATTGGGATGTTGAGGAAATGGAGGAGTATAGCAAGGAGATTGCGGAGAAGAAGGCGTTGCAGACTAGTTGGATCTCTATTCTGCCCTTCAATGGTGGAAAGGGACTAGCTGGGCTGAAGGATTAGTTCCACGAATTTAGCGGAGTGATAATTGTAAGAAAGGAAGTGTTAAGAAATCATTCGGTGGAATGTCAATTTAAATCTCAGCGTCAAGAATAAGGAGGTTAAGCGAAGCAAGATCCCTCCTTTAATGGGGAGAAAAGTGAATGTTTAGTATTGGCGAGCAATACAATAGATCTTCGCTCAATGACAGTCATAACCATGTTTTATCCTTGTCTTTCCAAAATTGAATCTCATTCGCTACTCAAATGCCATCTGATTTGGCTATGTTCTACCCCGCATTTTCATCAGCCACCCCTACTAACATAGTTTAGGAACACGACTGTCAGATCTCCAAACAGAGAGCCAATCACATCGCACAAGCGAATACGAATGCCATGCTGTTAACCATCATGAGAAAATCTTACAGTCCTTATTGTTATTATATCTATTGAACTATTTCCCACTCCTTCATTCTACGCTTCAAACTCAAATCGAGAGAGATATACCAGATCGATATCAAAATGAACGATCCTCCTCCACCATATACATCCCGTCCGCCCTCGTACACAGAAAGAACACCTCTTCTACATCTCCATCTACCGACTGAACCTCGTCCTTATCAAACTCCAGTTGTTAGATCGGACGATGCATCGAGGTTTAGGGCAGCTACCTGGATGTCGATATTTGTAATCTCGTTGGTGGGCGCGTTTTATATCTTTCTCATCATGGTTGTGGGATTCAGCATTTTTTGGCCGAACGACGGGGATTGATGAAGATTGGAAAGTAGACCGGGCCGTGGAATCGATGGAATTTAGGGAGTAAGGAGGTATATTGGGGATGGAGTTATTAGGGAGTTTTGGAATGGGACGCACATTTTCACGTTGATTTCGGAGGATGTTGAGTTGATCACGATCCCTATTCACAACATCGATGATTTTTGAGCTCGTTTGCCGCCTGAAAAATATCCGATTAATGAACGACCATTCAAATGATAATCACCCTGTAAGTATGCCTTACATGCGACAATAACTGCATCACAAAAACTATCAAGATAGCCAACCCGTGGCGGCGTCCAATCCTATTAGATATTTATACCCTGTTTTATGCAGGCGGCCGCATTGCGACCGTCACACGGAGGCGCAATACATTTGATGACCATCACCTCACTTCATGTATCAAGATTCAGGTTGTGATTTTCAGCTTTATATGATGGAGTAAAACCTCAACATCGCAATCTCGACGTGATTCTTTCAATAATTAGCGAATGTGTTGATATCAAGCAAATATGTCAATCAAGATGCATAAGGCTGGCCCACCACCACCATATTCGCCTGAAAGTCCTCCGAAATACTCATACTCGGAATCATCACCTCTTCTTCCAATAGTGACTGAGGACTATCTTTCAGAATCGGGAGATGTGGATAACAGGAAGAGTAGGAAATTATACAAAAAATTACTCACTGTCATCGGGGCGCTCCTGACTGCATTCATGATTCTCAGTTCAGTAATATTACCTTTATCTATCATTCGGAATGGGAAATCAGCAGCAAAAGTCGTAAATCTTAAGGTTGGAATTATTGGTGCTGGACCCTCGGGGATTGGTGTGGTTCAAGGTGTGAGAGATGGGATTTCACGATTTAGTCGGGATTTGAAAGACCCAAATGTTGATGTGCAAGTGGAGATTGTTGTTTTTGATGAAAAGACAAGAGTAGGCGGCAGGATGGTGGTTGAGAGTACAACTGGCATGGAGCTTGAGGTTGAAGATGTTGCGAGCGGAACGCTTGATGGAAAGCTATTAAGTGTTATTGGCGAGCTGGAAGATGTGCAGAAAGAAAAAGATATGGCTATTGAAAGCGAAAATCTTGGGATGGGAAAAGTTGGATAGTAAGTTTGCATTGCTTTGCTATTTCAAATATGTTTAAGTAGTGAATTTACAACTGACATTCGCAGTTTCAACACAAACAATATCGTTACCGGAACATACCGACCTTATGCTACCACTCCTTGGAAGCATTACATCTATCTTTTCATCAAGTATGGACATTCTGTTTGGCAGGCCCCAAGAATCCCAACGGGAACCATGAAATCCGTCCATACTTTCCTCCCTAAACTCAACACTACAGGGGTATCCTCTATCAGAGATTTGACATACATAATTTCCAACAAAATTGGATACACCCCCTTTAGCCTCCCCGCAACCGAAAGACTGAGAAGAAATGGAGTGGAAGGAGCCTACATACGAGATATACTAGCTCCACAAGTTCGGCGTCATACCGGACAGTCGATTGAGCAGATAAGTGATCTAACATTAAGTATTGCACTTGAGCGAGAAGAATCCAGATCTCCGAAGCCTGTGAATCATGGGTTCTTTCAAATGGCAATGGAGAGATCATTGAGAGAGAACAAAGCAAAACTACACCTCGGTGTAAAAGTCACACAAGCTCGCTGGGAAGAAGTCATGGAGGATCGTGCAAAGTGGGTGATACAATGGGAAAACACAGCACACAACGAGGACGCTCTAGGTTCTGAAGAATTTGATAAAATCATCATTGCCACACCATTTAACTACACAGAACTCTTAGGAGAAACACAGGATGGTAAATCACTCTACCCTCTCGACGATGATACCCAGGATATCGAATACCGACCCTTATATATCACATTCTTCACCACTTCCTCACTCCTCACTTCTACCCTTCATAATGCCCCATCCCCTCTACCCGCACAACTCCTCCCCATCCTTGATTCTCACCAACCCTCCACTTCCCCTTTCAACTCTCTTATCGAACTTTCTCTCCTCCGCACCATTTTCCCTCCTTTTCAATCACCAGATTTCCATTCCCATTCTCCCCACCCACCAAATCCTCCAAAATATCTCCACCGCCTCCTCTCATCCCATCCCATCTCCTCCACATCCTTCTCTAGCATCCTCCATCTCCCCAACACAACAAAACTCGAAAATTGGAACCAGCAAGAAATTCCACACGCATACCCACTCACCCACACCTTTCCCTCCAATGCAAAAGAAGAAAAAGGGTCTCTGAAACTTGGAGATCATATCTGGACAACGCGGGGAATAGAGAGGGTATTGGGGGATCTAGTAGAGGGGGCATGGAATGCGGGGAGGATGGTGGGAGGGAATATCGCAAGGGAGATTTTTGACGAGGTGGGGGGGAAGGAGATTGGAAAATAGGTATGAGAATTTGTGATTTGGTTCTAGGATTTGGGATTTGGTATTCTGGGGGATAGGGTTGGATTGTAATGGTTTATACCTATGATATGAAACTAATCAAGTACTGATTTTTTTATTCGTTTACTTATTTCCTTATTCAAGTCTCAAATTAAGTAGGTAGCTAGCAGTATTTATTTCCATTCCTTTTAAAAATATACACTTACACATACAAACAACTCCAAGCAATTCAAAATCTTGAAGTCTTTAATAAACCCCAAATACTACTAATAAATTAATATCACTACTCCTAATACTAACCGTCACCTCAATCCTGATCTTAATCAGAATAATAATTAGAACTATAACTATATCTCAAGTAGTGAAGTTGTCAAATCGTATATACATATCTATAGAAATATAAATACCTGTAGTATAAATAAAATAAGATCTTCTCAATTGAAAGATCTGATGATGAGTTAATCTTTAGCTTCTCAGTTTAGATTAATGTTTGAGTATTGAGTATTGAGTATTGAATATTAGATTGAATTGAATTAGAAGATCAAAAGATTAAAAATAAGGTTTACAAAAGGGGAGGTAAGGAATAAGGATTAGATTTGAGAATAATAAGTGAGAAAGAGAGAGAGAGAGGCAGGAAAGGTGATAGGACTAGAATCCAGAACTGATGATAGAAGTGACTAACTGAGAAAGGAGTCAAGAGTGAGAAATAATGTATAGCGTATAAAATAACATATAAACTACAAACTATAAACCACAAAAAATTGAGATAATTTCATGGCCGAGAATATTCCGTATGAATCAAGTTCAAGAAGAATATCCATTCTAGTCACCGATTCCAAAAGAAGAAAGACACGGAAATAAAACAAGTATTGGAACTTTATAGACATTAATTCACCTATCATAGTAATATACATACATATATCAGATCAACTGGTTAATATATACATCCTCCATAACTCCTATACCAATCTTTCGATACCCCATCCCAATTTATGCCGTCCAATTCCAATCCAATCCAATCCAGTCTATCCCAATCCAATCCAATCGATGCAATACAATCCCGCCTTCTGTTTTCGGCAACTAAACTCCCCACCATTTTAACCTCTAAACCTGCAACTCCCTAATCCTATAAATGCCCTCTTCCTCTCTCCTCCTCCCCGCATCTCCCCCCGTAATCCTCCCCCCCACCACCCACAACCCAACCACCACCGCCACTCCACCTACAAACCCAAAAATTCCCACCCCCAACCCCGTATCCTTCAATCCCATCACTCCTCCCATCTCCTCCCCCATCCCCTGCTCTATCCAACTCGGCATCGCAATGATCAAAAACCCCGTAAACAAATTTTGCAAGACCGCATGTGCTCTGTCCAATCCCCCTCTTCCTCTCTGACCCTCCTCCTTCCCATGATCATCCACACCCTGCTGAATCGCCAAATATCTCTCCACCGCGAATCCCAAGATCGCGGCTCCTGCAACCAAGATCCCGAAGATTAGACTGATCACTTTGAGACTGCATTCCATGCCTGGAGTTGAGACGACAAAGACGGTGGAGCTGACTTTGGTGGCTTGGGGAATAAGCGTCGTGGATACGTATTGAGAGAAGGCGATGGTACCTGTGGTGAAGAGGATGAGGCCTGGGATTGCGATGCGGAGAGCGCTGGTTGAGGTTCCGCCTAGGGCTTTTTCGGAAGATGGAAGGATGGGTTTTCCGGGGGAGACGATGGATAAGAGACCGTAGGAGATGAGGGAGAGAACGAAGGGTCCGATGAAGATGTATCCCACTTGGCTTGGGAAGATGAATAGAGGCGAAGCGGAGAGGAAACTTGAAAGGCTTAGTGCAAATGCGTATGCGGATGCTATTGGTAATGAAGCCAAGACGAATGTAAGAAGTGTGATGGGAGAGGCGAGTTTCTTGAGTGGTCTTAATAAATCCTCTTTGGATGGATTACCCCAATATGGCATGAGATGTAATGTTTTCCACCAAGATTTGAAGGAGATGGTAGGGGGAGACGTAGGAGGAGTGGGATGAGAAGTTCGGTAGAAAGATGTTTCCGGAAAGGCGATAAGTAAAAGGAATATCGAAATGGCTTGAATGATATTCATCACCATGATTTGGTTTCCGTAACCATCAATTGTCTGGCTTAGATATCCACCGATGATAGGGGTTCCCCATGTGAAAAAGACGTCGATTATTGAGAGGATTGTTAGACGAAGTGGGAGTTGTGATTCCTATTTTTGTTAGTATAATTCTATGCGTTTGAATAATTCCCCTGCGTTTTAAGCCTTTCTCGCTTCCAGATCCAGTAATTCAATAGAAAAGAGGCATAGGTAATACTCACGAAATACATTTCTGCCATCGCACCTCCAACCAACGCTTCAAAAGCTCCCCATCCTACTCCCTGCATCATTCTACCTCCCAGAAATTGACCATAACTCTGAACATGCATATTCCACAAACTGCCGACCAACATCAAAGCCGCGGCAAAAATGAAAATTCCTCTCTTTCCCACCTTCATATTCAATATTTCCCAAAATGGACTACTGATCGCAGAGAAGATGAATGCAATTCCTGTCAACAATGCGGTTTGAGTAGATGAGATCGAGAACTGTGCAGTGATGACTGCATTTACGGAAACGAACATTAGGCGTTGCATGCCTACTATTGAGAAAGCAAGACAGAGGGCGAAGAATGCAAGATTTTTGCGATGAGGACACCAGTTCTGTAGCGTGTTAGTATAACTTTCTTTAACGATCTTGTAATACGTTTGGTTCGGCACAAAAATGGCAAATAACAATAGAATACATACCAAAGGATCCATACTTGAATCATGACTAAATTTCTCATCATCCCAGTCTCCCGTGTCCTTTTCGAAATCAAAAGGCGTAACTTTTTCCACAAATGTTTTCAAAGTCCCTTCATCCATCTTTGGGAATCCCTCAACTTTCTTCTCTTTCGCATTCGCATTACTTCCGGCCCAAAACTTCAATTTTCCACTTATAGTATCCCTCCTCAATTTCCCTTTCATTCCATCGTCAATTCCGCCTTCGTCATCCCCTTTTCGTGAATGTTCCGATTTCTGAAGAACAGGTTGTGGTTCAGTTATAGTTGCCATGATTCCCGTTCGCTGCTAAGCGTTCTCGCAATTCGTTTAATCGGTTCGATGCCAATTGCCTCTTAGGATCGTCTATCTTTGTTGTATTTCCCTTCATGTATTTCTGATTGAATTCTCTTGTACAGTCGTCGAATCGTGTAAAATAATTCGATTTAAATTCTCTTTTCTTCTCCTTTTCTCTCAATCTCAAAATTCTAAATGAATGTCGCGCGATTTCTCAAAAACCGTCTATAAAGTGTAAAGTAAAGGAATGACTTTGAAAATAGAAGGAAAAAAACACTACACAAGAAACAGATCTAGAAACCCAATTGACCGTCTAGCAGTCTTAAAGGATAGATGTCAAAAATAGAAAAAATAAGAAAACAATTAAATCAAAGGCATAAATGTCATTGAAAGTATCCGAAAGACCAAGAGAAATTCGTGGACAATGCGTACAAGTAAATGAACTCGAAGTCGAGACGAACAACCATTTCATACACCCCAACTGCGCCTCACCGCATAAGGAATCCGATTTGAATCCGCATCACATACAATCTCATACGCTCCAATTCTCCTATAACTCCCATTGACGCGAATATGAGCTAATTTTCTGATATTCCGTAGGGCTTAAATTCATGCACTTGCATTTTCAGACGAGTTAGCTTCCCAAGACTCCCGAAATATACCATATTGATCCAATCGTAACCCCTGCAGCGATCAAAACCTAGCTTGAGGTTTAAAGTCTAATACTAAAAGGGGAATTTTCAATTCAGATCAAACCCAAACCGTGGCAGCCGCGTTTGGAATGATCGACACGTTTCATCTTGAATGTGCCGCACTGGCGCGGTAGCTGCTCGGACTCGGATAATTTGATGAGGGACTCGGTTGAATTGAAGCGAGCACTCACCAATAAGTCACCTTGCTCACCTCGATACTAAATTACGGGACGTGTACCCGGACATTTTAATGTTTTGCGACTACGGAGGTTGTCAGCGTAAATCGTATAAGATATTAATTTACCCCACATCCCCCTGTAAGGAGAAATTTAGGGGTTTTAATAGATTAAATTGTTCTATTTTATATTATTTTAATAAATCCAAATAAAATCAGCATTTCTAAATATTTTTAAAAACTTTATAAAAATCTTTTCAATATTGATAATATTTAAACTTGAAATTTATTAAAATTTATATATCAATATTATCAAAATAATCGATTATATATTATTATTATTATCTTTAATATCAACCTCCTCATTTATTAAATTTACTTTATTTCCTTTTATATTATTAATATCGGAAATTTCAATTCAATACAAAATAACCAGAGATTAATATATTGAAGTATACATCCTCTATAAAACTAAATGGAAAACTATAAAGATATAAGAATATTTTCTTTAAAATAGTATTAATCTAAATTATAAGTAAGTAGCTTATGTATACTCTATGTCTATAATATTTAAAAAACAATTTAACTGGCTATTAGTTTTGTTAATCTTTTAATTTAATCAAATTATTGAATTTATTAATTTTTCCAAAATATATAGATAAATATTATATTAAAGAGTAGTTTTTAAATTAGAATGAATTGGAATAAATAAATCTGTAGTTTGAAATGGGTTAAAAAAAATAGGCTACAAATATTATATTACTCTTTAAAAATCCCTATTTCAAAAATCAATCATCTAGTTTGCTTTCAATTTATATTAGAATATTTTAATTATCACGGTCAATCCGTGTAAGAACTGGCGAGGGCACGTGAGTAGCCCCTACGGGGCTATTTCGGGCCGATATTAACCTGTGTATAATTATAAATTATAGAATTTTTATAATTTAAAAGGATTAATAAAAAGTCTTTATACTATATTATACCTAATTGATTTATTGCTATTATTTATTTTAATAA